CTATTTCTAACTTCTGCAAATTCTCTCCATTTAAATAATATTCTACTTTTCTATTCTTCCAACCAAAGTGGACAAGTTCATAATTTCTTACATTACGCTCCATTTGCCATTTTTTTTTGCCCACTCTCATAACTTACCTATATCACTTTGCAGATTTCTCTGTCCCATTCACAATTCACATTTCTTCCTGATTTTGTTTAAGTAGCAAATTTAGCAATCATACATTTGGCTTCATCAAAGCCATTGAGATAAGTTGAAATTTCCAGTGGTCAACTAGCCAGCATCTGGAATCCTCTGAACCCGTCCCCAGCTTTGAGTTACAGTTGGAGACTATGGATAGTTCCACTTACTTACCTTAATAGAAACACGTGTAAGTTGAAAGGAATTAAAGCCTATTCTAACTCCTGGGTAACTAATACACCGACCCTGCCCATCAAACCTCAGGATGGACTCCATGCCCCCCCGAAATCCTGACCTGACCTGGCTCTCTTTCCCACCAACTCCTGAATCTGATATGCCCCCAAGATTTTTAACTGGAGTCTAGGAGGTTGAGGGGTCACCTTGTAGAGGTTTATAAAATCATGTGGGGTATAGATGAGGTGAATGGCAGGTGTCTTTAGGGTTGGGGATTTCAAGAATAGGCAGCATATTTTTACGGTGAGAGGAGAAAGATTTAAGAAAAGATAATGAGGGGCAACTTTTCTACACAGAGTGGTTCACGTGTGGAATGAACTTCCAGGGGAAATGGTGGGTACAGGTACAGTTACAACGTTTAAAATACATTTGGATAAGTTCATTAATAAGAAATGTTTGGAGGGATATGGGCCAAGTGCAGGCAGGTGGGACTAGTTTAGTTTGGGATTAAGGTCAGCATGGATTAGTTGGGACGAAGGGTTTGCTTCTGTGCTGTATGACTCTATGCCTCCCCCACCAATTCCTCCTGATGCTACACCATCATGTGAACGTTCTAAGCACCCTCCAAACACCCTCCCACCCCAAATGTCTTCCAACTTCCTACAACTCACAACCTGGCTCCTTGCTGATCTGGTTCTCTCCAACCCACCCCAAGTCCTTATCCACTTGGCTACAACTGGTCACCCTCCCCAAATTATCCCTTTACCGAATTCACCCACACTCATTCACTAGAAATTATTGAATAATTAAATTAAATAAGGAAACAAATTTGTAGTTTATATTCCCAATGCATCTGAGTTGGTGCTGACAGCCACCTGTAAATGTGTAAAGGATTTCTCTAACTCTGTGCTCATCTCGATCTGTCCACTGGTGAGAATTAATGGTGGAGTTCTGTGCTCCAAGTCAAACCAGACTGAATCTGTTTGCAATTGGTTCGCTTTTCCAGCTGCAGCGTTTTTACAGATACACAAAAATGCACTTGTGCTGTTTTACTACAACTGCTGCCCCATCCCAATTAAATGTGTGTGAGACATGGATAAATCTCGTTTGCCTCAAATAATTCTCTTCTGTCATTTTAAATGGAAGAATAGGTACGAGATATGGGCTTTCTTCTTTTACTTTCTGGCAGAATTCTGCTTTAGATTGCTTTAATGAATCAGGCCATTGTAGCTGCAAAGACCGTGAACAGTGCTGGTGTGTTTTTTGAACGTGTGCATCGTGCTCCACCTAGTGGTGGCATTGACCACAAATGCAGCCAAACAAATTACACATAGAATTATTAGATAACAAGAGATATTTTAAAAATAAATTTTGAAAATTGTTATACTTGCAGTTGATAAAAATTACATTAAGTGTTGCATAACATCTTACCACTGTTCAATTTGGGAGCATCAAATACAGGATAAACAATGTTAACCTGTATTAAGCAATGGCAAAACAGAAGACGGATAAACAAAAATACTGCATTTGTTTCCGGTTTCATTTACTTAGTTTAACAGGTACGCACGTAAGACAGAAGGACTTTCAAAACCCGGAACAGGCACTGTTTGCCTTTCAGGCAATAAAAGAATCTACAGGCAATGAGTGATTACCTGCTCAGATCTGTTAGAATCTGTTGTCAATTAATTCCTGTCTGGCTTTTAGCACACAATGCTGCACCACTCCACCAGGCAGAAGGAGATGTTGCCCCTGTTCAATATCCTCAGCTTCCTCCTTTGAAGACTCCTGCTGTCCTCACAGCTCTTCAGTGCCTATTATGTGTCTTCTCTGCTTGCCCCAGTTCAACTAAGTGCATCATGCTGCACACTCTGTCTGGATGGACTGCATCCAGTGAACCACAGCGTAAACTGGAGGAACAACATATCTTTAGACTACGCACTTTACAATCTTCTGGACTTAATATTGAGTTTAGCACCTTCAGATTGTGAACCCACTCTTGTTCATTCCTTTTCTTTTAGCTCTACTTGTTACATTCTCTATCACTATATCCTCTGTCTGCTCTTTCCTGTCTGGCAGTCAGACACACCATTGTTCTGTCATTCTTACATTCCAATCACTTAATCTGCACTGTCAACACCCTTTTTCCCCTGCACTCCATCTCCCCGAAATTGCATAAATGCTGCCCTCTCCATGCTTCACATCAGCTCTGAGGAGGGGTTATCTAGCTTGCTGTCTCTCCACGGATGCCAGCATTTGTTCCTTTCCGTTAATGGGGTATGTTTGGCCTCACAGTGAAATACCCTCAGGGAGGCCCAGTGTAACTTACATTCAATTGCTTGAAGGGGCACAGGAGATCAACATACGAACACCTTACTCCCACTGTGACATGTCCATCCTGAGCCTCCTCCAGTATCACAATGACACCCCTGCAAACTAGAGGAACAGCACCTCATATTCCACCTTGGGAGCCTACAGGCCAATGGGCTAAATGTGGATTTTACCAGTTTCAAAATCTCCCCACACCCGGCTTCATCCCATGACCAACCCTCCCTCTCATCCCCGCCTCCTTGACTTGACACAACCTGTCCATCGTCTCTCCCACCTATCTGCTCCTCCCACTTCACTGACCAATCCCCACCATTCCCTACCTGCACTCACCAATCACCGTCCCATCTACCTTCCCCAGCCCCACCCTTCCTCTCTCTATTTATTTCCCAGCTCCCTTCCCCCTCCCCCATTTCTGAAGAAGAGTCCCAACCTGAAACGTCAGCTTTCCTGTTCCTCTGATGCTGCCTGGCCTGCTGTGCTCCTCCAGCTCCACGCTGTGTTATCTCTGACTCCAGCAACGGCAGTTCTTACTATCTCTACGTACGAACCAAAGTTTCATGACATTTATGTATTGCTGATAATCTGTCTGCTGTTTGCTGATGCTCTTAAGTAACACTTTCACATCCTCAGGTGTCATGGGGGGGTGTGGCTATGCCTGACTCGTGCTGCAAAGTCTAACTGGCATGCTATGAAGCACACATCCTGAAGCAGCCAGATCTAAAGTCTGTCCACACAAAAAAAAACACAAAGTGGGAATATTTTGGCATGATTATCTTTGGTCTGATCTGTTCTGATGGTAATTGAAAATCCTGACCCTTTGCTTTGTTCTCCTTTTAATACTTCCCTCTGAAGGTAGTATTCCTCTTGCAGTTTTATACCTTGGTTGTTCTTAGCCAGGTTTCTTTATTCAGATCAAGGCTTAAAATGGTGGTATGTTCATTTTGAGGAACCTTAGGGTTCCAGAAAGCAAAGTGGTCAATTATGCTGAATCCCTCTGAAAATTTTTCCTTCTATCTCTTTGAAGCTTGAATTCTCACACCTCTGCTATCTGTTTGCAAACTCCTGGTATTTCAAGAGTGTCTTCATGACTAGGCATTTCTCTCTGTAATCCAGTTTGCACTTGCAGCTGTATATTCAGGTGACTTGTAGCAGCCCTACATTTTTTAAGCTTTTGTATCTGGTTAAGTCAGATTTTTATACAAAAAATGTTAGAGCTCCTTTGTTTGTGACATTAAAATAACATCTGACAAATCTCCAAGCCATTGTATTTAGGCACCAGAATGTATGCAATGGAGCATCTACTGCCTTGTATAAAGGTTAAATCCATGTTCCTATTAATGTACATATATCCTAAGTTCCTGATCTTGACAGTTTCTTATCTCTTTAAAGACCCTCACCATTTCTTCGAGTGTTATAGGACTAGACCTTTCCTGGGGCAACACAGTGGCTCAGTGGTTAGTGCAGCTGCCTCACAGCATCAGGGTCCTGGGTCCAATTCCGCACTGAGGTGCACATCATCCCTGTGTCTGCCTGGGTTTCCTCCAGGTGCTCCAGTTTCCTCCCATAGTCCAACGATGTACAGGTTAGGTGGATTGATGATGCTAAATTACCCATAGTGTCCAGGGATGTGCAGGCTGGGTGGATTAGCCATGGGGAAATGCAGGGTTGCAGGGATAGGGTAGGGGCATGTTATGCTCTTCAGAGGGTCGGTGTGGATACATTGTGGCAATTGGCCTGTTTCCACATTGTAGGGATTCTATGATTCCTCACTTACGTTGATAGGTTCCCTTGTTATTGTGGCAATCTGATTGGGATTGGATATGCACAAGTGAGTCTTGATACTGGTAAAAACAGAGGGAGAAATAGAAGTTCCATCACAGACAATTTAACATCCCAAAGAGGAGACTTCCAACACCCTATATCAATATCTGTACAGTAATAAAATTAAGCACATAAATGTTATGCATATTCTATTTAAACAAGCACCATTATTAATGCATTTCCTGCTTTTCAAATAAAATCGATATTAGGGAATATTTTATAATCGCAGAATTTCTGAAAAAGCTTAACAATATATCATACAAAGAAAATAAGTTTAGTATTTAGGAATAGAAAGACTAATGCATTTTATTTGTTTTTAACTATTTTATTGATTGAATTAAGATATTTAGATAGTCATCATACTTTCATATCTATATGTCTCTACAGACACATTAGCATATTTGTAAAGTTTGAACTAATATCACATTTTATAATTTCAATCGATAGTGTTTTAAAGTTTACCATGGAAGATCACTAACTGTTCTTTCAAATTTCTTAGGTTTTTGAAATTTTGTCCAGATTGCAAAGATTTGCTGACAATTCAAAGCCCATTTTCTGGTTAGTAACTTTAAAATTTTGCTAAATAGATTTGCTTGCTTATTTTTAAAACCATATGGTATACTCAAGACAACTCTTTTTTTAAAAAAAAATCTGTTGTTTTTACATTTGAGTTCCGAGACAATGGATTGATAAGCATTAAATAGTAAGATAAAAGCAAAATACTGCACATCTTGGAAACGTGAATTAAAAACAGAACGTACCAGAACTCAGCAATTCAGGCAGTATCTGTGGACAGAGAAACAGAATGAGCATTTTAGTTTGACAATCTTTCAAGAGAAAAGAGAGGAGTTCAATGTGTAAGAGTTTAAAAGCAGGAGTTGAGGCTTGAAACGGTAAGAATAAAGGGAAAATTTTGGAATAGGGTTGAAGGCTGGAATGATTAAGCTACAAAAGAAACGATGGTGCAAGACAAATTGAAATGCTAATCAGACAAAAAAAAACAAAAGGTAGATCTAAACGAGATGCAAACAACCACTTCAGAATCATTTATGAGCATTGTTCAAAAATAATGGGAAAAACAGTCATTGTCCAAAGTTACTGAGATCAATGTTCAGCTCAGAAGGCTGCAACAAGCATGGTGAAATGAATTTTGTGCTGTGCTTTTTCACTGCAGACTTGTACACTCGCATATCACGTTGAACAAGAAAGCAGACTGGGTTCTTCTTACCCCTTTTTTTTTCTGGAATAACTCTTATCTCTGGGAATGGTATTAGTGTTGTCCTATTATCTCACAGAATAACTTTCACCAGGTACCTTACATTTTAGCATTCCTGGTAGAATGAAATTCATTGACCTTGCTTATATCAAATTTGGAAAAATCTGATTTATGTCCTATGTCCCATGTCCCAAGAAATTTGCAGTTGGGTGGGTGTGGAGTTCATGCCATGACTATATTTAAGACCTCAACAACTTTGTGAAAGGATATAGAGTTCTCTTGTTATGCACAACAGAGATAATCTTATCTAATCCCAGAGGTCAAACATCAGGCTGTTAATGTGTGTCACTACCTTTTAGTTTGTAAACCTGGTAATATAATGTAGTGATGAACACATTCACCTTTAGCTTTGCGTTTTATATTGCCCTATAGACCTTTATACAGGAAAAAGGTCTGAAATCACATGAAAACAACATATGGTGTTCCGATGTTTCTACATCATTTGTACTGATTGGTAAAATGTTCTTGTTGCTCTGAAAGAACCCCAACACTCGACTGGTTCTCTGGTTTCTTCCACTGCTGAGGTTATTTCTTTTTTTAATCTTGGCTCCCAAAGTATTAAAACAAAGTACAATGTAGAAATAAAACATCATTTAGTGAATTAACAAAGTTAACACACTACAAATAAACATTGCTAATTTATTTTGTGGGTTACCCATCACAGGTCAGATGGAGAAACAGTAACTGCTGCTGTTGTGGCATTATTCAATTATAATGGAAACAAGGTGGTGATTGATTTCCTGAATGATGGATTATATGCTGCAATTCAGAACACTTTTAACAATTTACAGCGGCTTGCTCGTGCCCTGACCCTGGATGCTATTTCTTTTGAATATCTAAATAGGATCGACATTACAGATATCAGTAAATGTAAGTTATAATGTTTTAACATAATATTCTACAAACAAAAGCAACAAAATGTAACAGAAGGTTTTCTACTCAGACAGCACTAAGTAGGTGTTGGATGATACCATGTGACACAGTGCTTGATTTACTACTTGTATGTTTCAAAATCTTCAGACATATTTAAAAACAGATCTTCTGCTGTCTAATCACAAGGCTCATGTCATGAAACCACATATGCATAGCTCACTAAGTTCATGTTCTCAAATATGCTCAGCAACAGTTCAACCTGAAGTACAGAATTTTTTGGAGTATTCAAATCTAAATAACTTCATTGATTATTAGAGCCACCTAATTAAAATTTTAACCTGCAGGTTTGTTATTTAAAAGTACAAGCAGAAAGCGGGTGGATGGCTTTGTCTTATTCTTAACCTATATACAAGAATTAAATAATACATTTATTGCATTGACCTCTATAAATTTATTACAAATTATTTGAATACATTCACTCTCATTTGAAACCGCCTATGGAATCCGTCTCCACCACTCTCCCAGGCAGCACATTCCAAATCCTAATAACTCTTCATGGAGTAAAAACATTTCTCCTTATCTCACTCCTAGCTCTCTTGCTGACAACCTTGAAACACTTAACTAGGGGTCACAAACATACCAAATAAAGTTACCCTTTAAATATTATCTGCTCCAAGGAGAATAAGGCCAATTTCTGTAATCTTTCCTTGTATCTAGAATCTCTAATTCCTAGTAAATCTCCTTAGCACTCTTTCTAAGGCTTCAGCATGCTTATACCAGGCTCTAGTAAATTTGTGACCTCAGAGTAATGTGTTTCCCAAAGAAACACAATTTAAGAATAGATCCATTTACCAAATCTATTGCTACTGCTATATTCTTTTAGAAATATGATCGTTAATTTGGACATCATAAATTATAACGAAAACAAATTCTCTAATTAGCTTTGCTTATGACCTGCTTTTACTGTTTTCACTGTAGTCAGCAGTCTACACAACTTTGCACTTTAATATGACATCCCAACTGCAGCACAGAGAATTCCAAAGGTGTGCAGGCTAGGTGGATTGACCACGCTGAATTGCCCGTAGTGTTCAGGGATGTGTAGATTAGGTAAGTTACAGGTGATGGGTCTGGGTGGGATGCTCTGAAGGTCGGTGTGGACTTGTTGGGCCGAAGGGCCTGTTTCCACATTGTAGGGATTCTATGAATTCCATTTTCAGGTCGCTGTGAGCAGCCAAAGGGTTTAAGATTGGCTCTAAATACCTTTTTGATTTGAGCAAACAGGTTTCAGAAACTGACTCCATTTACTCATTAACGATCTTTAAAACACACAAAAAGCAAACTTCAACTTTTCTTTGACATTGATATTGGTGTAGTCTGTTTTTTGCAAGTGTATGAATACTCAGACAACATTGCATAACCTTAGACTCTCAAATACCCTTTTGTTTAAGGAAAACGTGGCTTTAAGTACTCAATTTATTCCTTACAGTATCATACGATGATGTGTTGAATCATTCAAGCTGCAATAACACTGAATTTGCTGGGTATGTGCTTGAATGGAATGATGAAAGTGGAGTGATTTGCAGATCCCCCTGTGATTTGAATTATTGCCTGAATGAGGCGGAGTGTCAGCATCTGACAACTGGACCAATGTGCAAGTAAGAAATATACCAGTTCGTAATACTTCAATAGTCACCAGTTAAAATGAAATGAATCTTCACTTACATGCAATTATGGGTCAGTGCAACTGCACTTGACATCAATGCCGCATTTGATGGAGTGTGGTTTCAAGGAAACTTGGAGTCAATGGGGATCAGGGCAAAAACTCTCCACTGGTTTGAGTCATACCTGGCACAAAGGAAGATGGTTGTAGTTGTTGGAAGTCAATCATCTCAGCTTCAGGACATTTCTGCAGGAGCTCCTCAGGGTAGCGTCCTAGGCTCAACCATCTTCAGCTACTTCCCTCCATCATAATGTCAGAAATGAGGATGTTTGCCAATGGTTACACAACGTTCATCACCATTTGTGACTCCTCAGATACTGAAGCAGTCCATGTTCAAATGCACCAAGATCTAGACGATACCCAGCTTTGGACTGACAAGCAGCATGTAACATTTGTGCCACACAAATGCCCAGCAATTATCATCTCCAATAAGAGACAATCTAAGCATTGCTCCTTGACATTCAATGGTGGTACCATCACTGAATCCCCCATTATCGACATCCTCAGGTTACCATTCACCAGAAATTGAACTGGACTAGCCATATAAATGCAATAGCAACAACAGCAGTTGAGAGTACAGGAATACTGCAGCAAGTAACTTACCTCCTGACTCTCCAAAACCTGTCCAGCATCAGCAAGACACCAGTGAATATTCTTCATTTGCCTGGATGGACGCAGCTCCAACATCTCATGAAGTTTGACACCATCCAGGACAAAGCAGCCCACTTAATTGGCACCACATTCACAAACATTCACTCGCTCCACCACTGACACTCAGTAGCAGCAGTGCATATCATCCACACAATGTACTGCAGAAATTCATCAAGGTTCCTTACAGATCGCCTTCCAAACCCACAACCACATCCATCTAGAAGGACAAGAATAGCAGACACACCACTGCAAGTTCCACTCCAAGCCAGACATTCTGACTTGGAAATACATCACCTTCCTTCACTGTCACTAGGGCCAAAATCCTGGAAATCTCTTCCTAATGGCATTGTGGGTCTACCTACGGTACATAGAGTGCAGTGGTCAAAGATGGCAGCTCATTACCACCTCACCTTTGGCAATTACAGGCCAGCCGCGGAAGCCTACATCCCATGAGTGAATGTTTAAAAAAACAATTAACAGTAGAAAATGATTTGCATAGAAATCTCAAAATATCTTCATATTCATTCTATATATATGAAGTCAGGATATTCTCTTTTTTTAAAAAAATTATTCTTCCTTCATGTCTTCATGATATCCAGTTTCAGTAACTGAAACTTTTTATTTCATTTGTTCCACTATCAGCTTGTTTATTTCTTTTCCCATCTCTTGAACTACTTCATTGTCTTCTTAACGTGGTAGAACATTTAGAATGTCTGACAGACTTGTGACTAAAGGTATTACGTGCAAGCCTCAGTTTCCAATACTGGTTTATTAGCAGGATGGTTGATTTCAGCTGAGGCAACTGCTGGAGCATCTGTGTTGACCATACTGCATCAGAAATAGAATAGATGGAGACATTATAATATATACATATATTTAATGATCCTACTGAAGAATGGTGACAAGTGGACTGTGCTCACTAAAATAAATTGCCAATGTTCTCAGAGGATAACAACTACAGTATTGTTGTGAGAATCCGCATTCAGAGAGAGAAAAAAATACTGGCAGGAAGAAAAATGTCAGGTGTTCATACAGAGGGAGGAAAACACAAAGTAAGCAACAAAGTCCGGAAGAGTTACTATGATATCAAGCATAAATTGAGATCCATGTCCATGGGGATTTTCTGAAAGTGAGTTGCCAGTTTCGGCTGTGCCATCAGTAATGTGATTGTGTGATCACACATTTGCCCATAGATAGGGGTGAAATATATGACAGCACAATGGTAAGTCTCTCATGCTTCATAGTGAGTAATTAGAAGAGCAATAGAACAATATGTAGATGTTTTTAAAAATGTAGGAAAATATAAGAATTAGAAATGAACAAAAACAAGATTTAATCAGTATAATTTAAATTTCATAAGTAGCCCTTGGTCAGCAGAAAAACGTTTAGGTTAATCAGACCTGTAGACATGTTGTAACTGGTGACTTCAGCTCTTAATGACACATGTGCTTTTTTCCAGATGTCTTCCACAGGCATTATATTCCAGTCATGGCAATCACTGTGAACACCTATCTCTGAAGCTTGGAGCATTTTTTGGCATTCTGTTTGGAGCTTTGGGGCTCTTGCTGATAGTATCCTTGCCTGTTATCTGGAAATACAAATCATCTAAAAAGGAAAGACTCATAAATGAGAATGACAGGTGTGTTATATTGCTTTGTATTTTTAAAGATATTGGAAGAAAAAAAAAAATGATTACTACTTTCATCTTTTTTTCTGGTTCATGAAGTGATACAGTTTGTAAAAGTCTAGCATGTTGTACCTGCAATGCATCATGAAATCCTGGGTCACAAATTTGTGCTCTAAATTGAAGTATTTCAGTCAATCAGAATTATAATTTAAATTACTTATTATTAAATTAAATTAAATTCTGCTGCTACCAAGAAAATAATTAAATCAAGACCTTCTGCAATAATCTGCATTCATGTGGAATCATGCAACTTGGTGAAATGTATCAATTGAAGAAGGCAAAAACAAGATTTGTCTATTTCAGACATATGGTGGATATATTCTGTTTCAGAAGGAATTAATCTTCAGCGCTGCGTGTCTTTCATGCTAATGCAGCATTTTTTTAGCTAAATTGTGGTCCCCACTGAAATGTCTTCCTTGAGTGATGGAGGAGAATGAATCCTTTTTAAAATTTAGTACATTAAGCTCAGAAATGTTACTTGTAAGCAGTCCTGCAGACCACATAACATTAGATGCAAGGGAAGAAAGGGAATCTTTTGACCTTTTGCAATGTTAATTGGTTCTGGCAAGGCCTGTATTTGTTGCTGTCTGTAACTGCCCTTGAGAAGATATGTTGTGACTCACCTTTCAAATCATCACAGTTCACTTGGTGCATCCACACCCAAGGTATTTTTTAAGAAGGGGACATACAGCAGTGAAAGAATAGCAATATAGTTCCAAGTCAAAATGGTGAGAGACTTGGAGGGGAATTTACAGGTAGTTGTGTTCCTGTGTGTTCTGCTGCCTTTGTTCATCTTTTGTGGTAGAGGATGATGGTTTGGAAGGTGATTTCGAAGGTACATTGGCGAGATCATCATAGAATCATAGAATCCCTACAGTGTGGAAACAGGCCCTTCGGCCCAACAAGTCCACAACATTCAGAGCATCCCACCCAGACCCATTCCCCTATAACCCACCTAATCTACACATCCCTGAACACGATGGGCAATTTAGCATGGCCAACCACCTAACCTGCACATCTTTAGACTGTGAGAGGAAACAGGAGCACCTGGAGGAAACCCACACTGCTGCAGGGCTTTTTGTGGATGGTACACACAGTTGCCACAGTGCATCAGTGGTGGAAGGATTGAATGTTTGATATTGCAATGTGGGTGTTTATCAAGCAGGCTGCTTTGACCTGAATGGCGTTGTACCTCCTTAGTGTTACTGCAATTGCGGTCCTCATGTCAAGTGGAGACTATTCTATCACACTTCTGGATTGTGCCTTGCAGAGAATTGACAGGTTAATTTCTTTAAAATAGTGCATATTGGAATTTGACACACACATTAACGAATATTCTAAACTGCACACAAGAACATTTGAAAATTAGCTTTCAGAGGATTTTAGAATTAAGCAAAGGGTGACCGAGAAATTGATACAGACAGAAATATGAGGACAATAAATTAGCATGAGATATAAAAGCACATTGTAAAAATTTCAATAGGAACGTAAAAGAGATTAGCAAACAGGGATCCTTTACAGGCAGAGACAGGAGAAATGAAAGATAAGAAAATGGTAGGTACTTTAAACAAGCACATTTTAATGTCTTCCTAGTACAACACACAAACAAAAAAGAACACAAACAAATAAGAAGAACCAAGAGTACAGTGAGAATAAGAAACTGAAACAAATTAGAATTAATCAAGAAACAGTATTGAAGAAATTAATGATACTGCACCACCACAAATTCCCTGGACCTGTTACAGAGATAATAGGAACTGCAGATGCTGGAGAATCTGAGATAACCGTAGAGCTGGATGAACACAGCAGGCCAAGCTGCATCAGAGGAGCAGGAAAGCTGATGTTTTTTTGGGCCTAGACCCTTTATACCTGGTTTTAAATGAGGTGACTACTGTGATAACGGATGCAACTGGTTTTAATCTTCCCCAGCACCCTAGATTTTAAAATGATTCCTATGGATAAAATGGTAGTAAACCTAACCTATTATTCAAGAGAACAGGAAGAGAGAAAACATGGAATTGTAAGACCCATACAAGCAATAGAGAAAATTATTTAGTATATAGGGAGTAGATAAAAGAATGTGGAATTATCTTTTTAGGGTCACATTAATAGGGATTTTAAGGATATGAGAAAAAAAGTACCAAATCTCAGTTCTGGGTCTTTTAGCAACAGGTCAGTAGAAGTCACATATTCAAATTTTCGAAAAAAACAAATTCAATAAAGTGCCACACAAGTTATTCCATAATAGCAGGGCTCATGGGGGATTGAAGATTGATTAATGGACACAAAGTAGTGAGTTGTATTTGAAAAGTTGTTTTTAAGTTGGCAGACTTTAAATAGTCGTGGAGGTGGCGGCTTTGTGGTATTATCGCCGGACTGTTAATCCGGAGACCTGGGTTTGAATCCCACTATGGCAGATCGTGGAATTTGAATTCAGTAAAATATCTGGGATTATTGTCAATTGTCGGGAAAACCCATCTGGTTCACCAATAACCTTTAGGAAACTGCCATCCTTACCGGATCCGGTCTACACGTGATTCCAGTAACGTGGTTGACTCTCAACTGCCTGGTGGGCAATAAATGCTGCCTAGTCAGCAACACCCTCATCCTGTTAATGAATAAAGAACAAAACAATCCACAAGGATCAATGCTGGGGCATCAGCTTTTTACAATTCATATCAAATGACTTTGATATAGGACCATATGTAATGTATCCAAGCGGGTAGAAAAGAGAAAGTGACTTGGAAAGTAAGTTCTGAGGTGAATGCAAAGAACTTTATATTATCAGAGACAGGGAAATACTGGCATTCTGGGCCCAGTATCTCGGTATGCAAATCACTGTAAATTTATACATACGAAAGCAAGCAGTTGGGAAAGAGAAATTACATTACCAATTCACCTGTTATTTACTTGTGCACAGTACACTGGCTTTGGCCAGCCAGCTCTGAGTCAGTCACCTAAATTGAGAAGATTATAATCTCCTGGCTATATTGGTCAGCCAGGGCTTTCCTGATTGGCTCAGGACCCCAATTAATGACCTCATAATCAATGAAGTCAACCTGACTCCAATCACTACAGAAGGCAAATGGCATGTTAGTGTTTATTATAGAATGATTAAAATAGAAAAGTAAAGAAATACTACTGGAAATATGTAGAGCCTTGGTAAGACACATTCAGCGTATTTTATATAATTTTGGTCTCCTTAGTTAAAAAAGAATATAGTATCTCCGAAGAGTGCAATGAAGAATCATTACATTGAGTCCTGGTGGACAAATTGAGTAGACTTGATTTACATCCCCAAATTTAGAAGAATGGGAACTGATCTTACAGGATAGACAGAGGTTGTTTTTCCTGGCTTTAGGATCTAACACATGGGGTCACAGTCTCAAAATAACAGATTGGCCATTTAGGACTGAGATGAGAAAGTTCTTATCTGAAAGATTGTGAATCTTTGGAACTTTTTACCCTGGCTGGCCATGTATACTTGGTTCAAGACAGGGATCAATAGACTTTTGAATATCAGGCAATCAAGAACCTGGGATTTGTGTGAGAAGATGCAATTGATCTAGAAAATCACATTAAATGACGAACTTGTGGTCCTATTTCTCATATTCTTCTTAAATCCTTCGGAAATTAAAATTTTTGCAAACATTGCATGAAACTGAATAAAGATGAATGACAGAATTGCATCCTCTAACTGCACACTATTTATTTTGATGAGTAATTAGTTGTACAGGGACAGCATCATGAGGTATTGTTTTCCAGTAAGTTGCTGGATACATCTTCAGCTAGCCATATGGTGGAATAAATTAGCATTTCTATTTGTAGCTCCGAGGAAACATACACCACTGCAAATAAGTATGATCAGAAATGTAATACTGTTCAAGGATATTTGGAAATTAAATGGAATTTCTTTTCTTATAGCACTGCAAGTGGTGAAAATTATGGAAGATATTATTCACAACCGAATGTATGGTAAAGTAAGTATTACAGTCACAACCTTACAACTATGACTGACCCAAGACCCAAGAATGAATTGACTTTGCTCCAGTGCCAAAATTGGACTACATATTCACCATAATTGTAGCTTAAATGGTACGCCAACATCTTCTGTGATTCTGTAACAGCTTATTATTTTTCATTTCTTTTTCAATTTTTGAGATTGTCTTTGTCTTTGCCTTTTCTTTGCCAATGGCATTTACCTATACCTTCATATTTTAAACTGTCCATTTACTGGTTAATGATCAGTCAAAATGTTGCTATCTCTAAGACCTCTCTCTCACCTTTGAAATTTTCTCACTATTTTGAAATAACACCTGCTCTGAAACCATTTTCTTTTGCCCATTGTTAAATTTTAAAATCATTGCCCAGCAAAGTACAGTGGGTAGCATCCCTGTCTCTGAGCTAGAAGATCCAAGTTTGGGTCTGTCCCCAGAACTAGATGGCCAAGGAATTCTTAATTCGAGATAACAAGGTGTGGAGCTGGATGAACGCAGCAGGCCAAGCAGCATCAGAGGAGTAGGAAGGCTGACGTTTCGGGCCTAGACCCTTCTTCAGAAAAAGATTTTCTGACAGGTCTAGGCCCGAAACACCAGCCTTCCTGCTTGGCCTGCTGTGTTCATCCAGCCCTACACCTTGTTATCTCAGATTCTCCAGCATCTGCAGTTCCTGCTATCTCTGAATTCTTAATTCAGCCAGGGTGGATGTATATGAGGTTGCAATCCTCTAACACAACGACAGATAGTGAAAACAGGACAGATTCCTTGTCGGCTACATGATGGAAGAAATTTGGAGCATATATCATCATTATCCATTACTCCAGATTACAACATCTGTATAAAAACGTATGTACTACAGTGATATGGATGCCCTTAGTGAACTGAAACAGACCATGTCTTGCATCTGAGGCAGCTTTCTGGTGTGTAGTAACATCCCTGCTTCTCAGCCAAAAGTTCCAGGTTAAGTCATGTGCTAGAACTTGATGACCAAAGGGGGTGCGGTCAAACAAATTAAGCATTAACATGAAAGTCTTTCCAACACACAGCAACGGCAGGCACTAAGAGCAGGCTTGATTCCTGGTCAATCATGTGACTGAAAAAAACTAAAGCTCTACCATCACTATTATAGCTCCTGACTACAATGTATGTGCAAAAGTGTAACATGTTTCCAAAGCATGATGCAAGGAGTATTGACTGCATTATAGATTGGTGCAGCTATCATGGGGTGAGAGCCCTATTCCAGCTGTAATAGATTCAAAACCTGCCTCTTTGCCTTACCCATGATGAAGGTTGCCATTGCTGTTGTCAGACCTGTCTTTGGGCAGAGCACCGAGAGAGCACGCTGCTCAACCAACTTACATTGATCCATTGAGCACCATATCTAGTGATAATCCAACCTCTAATCACTAGCCATTGCTGTAGAGTACTTCCTACCTCTCAACCCACACTTTCTTCACCATTGTTACATTCTTTCCAGCTTACCTTCAAGATGACCTGTTAAATGTGTACCATTATACAGATTTATTTCTTTTAGTTTTTCAATAATAGATTTAAAGAAACTTTTCATTAATTTTTCTGAATGTCGTTAGAGTTCCTTCATACCTTTAAGTTGATTAGGTCATATTGTTTAAAAGAAAAATTTTATTTGTGTTTATCTGCAATCATTAAGTCCACCAATATTACTTTGATCCCTTTTACTCAACTGCTTATCCATATTCCCCCCAGTGCTAATGTTCCAAACTGTACCATAGTTCTGCCATTGTCTTTGGACTTCCTGCTCTCTAATTGTTTTTGCCACAACTCCATGGCTCATGGTTCCTTTCCTATTTACATACCTTTAGTAACTATAGTTTCTGAATACCTGCAGCTTTATGATGATAGAGGATGAAACCATTCCTGCCAAGACCACATCTAAATTAAGTATTTATAGTTAACACAAGGATTACAGAAGCTCAAGGATAATATCCATCACCTCAGAGCAACTAGGGATAGGCAATAAAGGCAACCTTGTCAGCATCAACCAGACTTGAGGAAGAAACAGAAATTAGCGAGGAGAGAATGTTTCTGAGGTGGTATTAAGTCCTGTGGATTTTTAAGCTGTAATTTTCACACTCCATCATGAGACCTGTCTATCAGATCCCTTGTTTTTTTCACACATTAAAAGAATCAGTCCAGCTTCCACATGTGCAAAACTGTGGGAAATCAACTAATGCTTTCCATAGATATTGGCAAGTAGATACTGGATTTTATCAAATCAAAGCACTTTGAATGCTGCAAACAAGTAATAAAAAAATTCAGGTGTTTTTTTTTTTTTAAATCATTCTTTTCCATGTAACTTTAACTCCACTCTTCCTCACTCACTGTCAAATTGTGCTGTCTTTGGCTGTTCTGCTAAAGTAAAATGTAAATGTGTTAACTAACTTCATTATAATGACCTGACATAGCTACTGTATATTTGTTTAATCAACTCAATTTCTTTTGTAGCAAACAACAGAAAATTCTACACCCAGTACTGTATTCTGTAATTCCATGATCCTACACACAACGGAACACTGTTGAAAGTTATGATTACAACAATTCACCCTGCTTCTATGACTAATTCTTCGGAGCACAGGGTTTCCTCTAATGAAACATTGAAATTACTATGACTGTATGAATTCTACTTAAACTAGATATTCTCTTGTTTAGAAAGTGAACAAAAGGTCATTGAAAATGGATATTCTTAAACCATCAAAATAGCAATGAAGAATTCAACTGATAGTATTTAGCTAAAATAATACACGAGAACAAAAAAATTCACACTTGTATAATTGCTAATTTTTCCATTATTTTGTGTTAAAATCAAAGATATTTTACAATTTTTCTTGGTAATGTTTGTATAAAATTGCTAAGCCATATGAATATGTAATCAAATTAAATGCAAATGTAATATAATTACATGCAATTCTTGTTAAGAAAGATCAATTTAATGCTCTAGAATACTTTCTTTAACACAGCAAAATGAAATTTATTTTTATGAAGGGGTTTAAAGGAGTTCTTTTGATATGCTTGAAATCAAATCATTTATGTAAGAAGTTCAATTACAAAGATATGCTATACATCAAACTTATAAATAAATAAGTCTAATCAAAAGATTTTGATCAAATTACTTCTCTTTATCAGTTTCTTTTTTTATATCAAAGATGGCCATTTCTTCTGTAGAAGCATCCCTTACAGCATTGGAGCCCAATTGCAAACCGACATGACCGTTCCAAGTTGCAGGCAAGGATGAATTGTCTGATATTGTTGGGACTGTACAGTCTTTCTAGTTTGCCTTTTGTCTTTTATTGCCTGTACTCTTGAGCTTACATTTATTCATTACAAAATCCAAGTGCAGAAGGAGCATATACTTTGATTAAATCTAATCAAAATCTGTACTTTACTGCACTACTCTCTTATCTTATATACCCAACATCATTGACTGATATAAGTGCACCACTCTCATATCTTATGTACCCAACATCACTGACTGATATGAAACTAATTAATACACTCATTAATAGTTGTGCTCAAATCCAGGATTCAGAATAGAATAGAATAGAATCCCTACAGTGTGGAAACAGGCCCTTTGTTTCGGAGCCATGAGGTCATGTTGCAGCTGTACAAAACTCTGGTGCGGCCGCACTTGGAGTATTGCGTACAGTTCTGGTCACCGCATTAAAGGAAGGATGCGGAAGCATTGGAAAGGGTGCAGAGGAGATTTACCAGGATGTTGCCTGGTATGGAGGGAAGGTCTTATGAGGAAAGGCTGAGGGTCTTGACGCTGTTTTCGTTAGAGAGAAGAAGGTTAAGAGGTGACTTGAGAGAGACATACAAGATGATCAGAGGATTAGATAGGGTGGACAGTGGGAGCCTTTTTCCTCGGATGGTGATGGCTAGCACGAGGGGACATAGCTTTAAATTGAGGGGTGATAGATATAGGACAGATGTCAGAGGTAGGTTCTTTACTCCGAGTAGTAAGGGCGTGGAATGCCCTGCCTGCAAAAATAGTAGACTCGCCAACTTTAAGGGCATTTAAATGGTAATTGGATAAACAAATGGATGATAATAGAGTAGTTTAGGTTAGATGGGCTTCAGATTGGTTTCACAGGTCGGTGCAACATCGAGGGCCGAAGGGCCTGTACTACGCTGTAATGTTCTATGTTCTATGTTCTTTGGCTCAACAAGTCCACACCAACCCTCACAGCATCCCACCCAGACCCATCCCCCTATAACTCACCTAATCTCTACATCCCTGAAGACTACGGGCAATGTAGCATGGCCAATCCACCTAACCTGCACATCTTTGGATTGTGGGAGGAAACCGAAGCACCCAGAGGAAACCCATGCAGACACGGGGAGAATGTGCAAACTCCTCACAGACAGTCGCCTGAGGCTGGAATCGAAAGTGGGTCCCTGTCGCTGTGAGGCAGCAGTGCTAACCACTGATCCACCCTTAAATTGATAACATCCACTAAAACACTCTACCTTGATTAAAATTGTATCTTCAAATCTAGAAGAATAATATAATTTTGTTTGGCAAGAACAATTGTTAATTATTAAATATGGATTAAAGTGAAACAATGAAGCAATAAGAACATATTCACAGAGATTGTACCAGCTGACTAACTTACTATCCTTTGGTTCACTCTCCTTAATTAGCTGACAGCCTTCCCATCCATGACTAAGGCACTTTTGATGGGAATAGCTTGTTTTAATGCATCAACTACATTTCTCCATTAATCTCCTGAAATCTTAACCAGTGTTGGAAAAGAGACAGCAATCATACAGGAAACGCAAAATACATTTCTTTCCAGGAAATGATGGCAAAATCGTTTTGAGAAAACCAACCGCACGATTGCTTACTCCACCATTGTCAGATTATTGAATTAAGAACAAACAGCAATGCATCTCCACAAAATGCTGATACCAGTGGTTTGAAATGGAATCTCATGACGCAGACATTGGTGCACTAGCATATAACTTTTAAATGCACAACTTTTTTTTTTAAACTGATGATATTCGGATAAGCCCATCAATTTCAAGACAACACAAACCATTGTTCAGATGGGATACTATTCTAGATTGGTGAACTCTAGCTTAATTTACAGGACTACTACATACCTCCTTGTTAGAGAAGAGGAGGAATTAATGATTCCACACTTCCTGTGACTACAAGGAGGAAAACAGAAAAGCAAATGCAAAAGTTAAATTGTTCACTGACACAAAAGAAAGTTTCAGCAAATAAAAGGAAAGCTGGTGCTGACCAAAATCATTTAAAACTTAGTCTGTTTCAACATTAACAGATTTGGCACATTTCTCTGCACCTCAAGTTTTCACTTCTCACCATTTGAAAATATCTTTTTCTTGGGATCAAAGGCCATTGCTTGCACTTTACAACACTGAACTCCATTTTTCCCCACTATCAATCTCCTTTTGAAATCTTCTGGAACTATTATCATTTCTGCCATCAACAAACTTTATTATTATTTACAGACGACAGAATGGCAGACTGACAATCATGTGAACACCTCAAACCTTATCCTTCAAGATCTTCCTTTCAAGAACTAAAGCTCATTGGCCAAAGATTTTTCCATAATGAATCTCTGTAGAGAGAAATACTTTATTTTTCCTCTTTGTCCAGGATACTATTGTGATTTGTGTGCTGTTTGAGCTATTCGGAAGGGCAAATATATATATATATAGAGATAGCAGGAACTGCCGATGCTGGAGAATCTGAGATAACAAGGTGTAGAGCTGGATGAAACAGATGGATTTATTGTAAAACAAAAACTTTCTAATTTATGAAGAAATATGTTTGATGGATCTTTTTATTTTGTCTAATGTAGGGAAAGCATACGATTGGTCATATTGGAACCAAGTAAAACAATTATTTTAAATAGTGGCCCATGGAGAGATTCTGTGCACTCCTCCCAACTTGGTCATAACATAAAAGTGCATGCTCTCTCAAGATACCCAACACCAATAATGTTTAATTGGAAATGGGGTAACAGTAAGTGGAAAAGAATAGAAGGAACAACACCAGGTTCGAGTGCATTATTAAATCAAAATAGCTTTGGTTGTTACTAAGAAATTTCTGGAGATCACAGATTCCCTACATTGTGGATGCAGGCCATTTGGCCCATTCAGTCCACACTGACCCTCCCAAGATCATCCCACCAAGACAGTAATAGTGTGTATGAGGCAGAAGGCAGCCAAGACAATTCCAAGACAAGATGTAGAAACAAAAGTAGGCCATTCATCCATTAAGCATGCTCTGCCATTCAATGAGATCGTTGCTGATCTGATGTTCCTCAACTCCATTTTCCTGCCTTTTTCCTATAAGCCTTGGTCTCCTTACTATTTAAAACTCTGTTTTACTCAGGCTTGAATGTACCTAACAACCCAGCCTCTACAGTCCTCTGCGATAAATAATTCTACAGATTCACCACCCTGTGAGAAGAAATTCCCTCTCATTTCTGTCCTAACTAGATGAACCCTTACTCAGATTATGCCCTCTGGTCCTAGACTCTCCCACAAGGGGAAACAACCACTCAGCATCTACCCTATCAAGTTCTTTAAGAATCTTACATGTTTCAATTTGGCTGCCTCTTATTATTTTAAATACCAATGAGTGCGTGCCCAACCTACTCAACCCCTCCTCTTAAGACAGTCCTTCCTCAAGACCCCTACTAGAATCACATGTTTTAAACTGACTGGATTTGTTTACTGGAAGTCACATTTCTCAGTTTATAGCTGTCAGGAGTTGTGACTGTTTGACAATGTTTAGAGTTCAGTTGATGCATTGCCTGCTGAAAGCAGTCACTCAACTTATCTTCTTTCCCCTTGTCTGAAAAATCTTCTGAGAATCCAGTGAGAGGTGAAAGCTAATGTGGCTATTTTACCAAGAAGTTTCTGGAAGACTTCTTCTTGACATCTCCTAAATGAATTGCTTCTGAAAAGATTCTTGTGACCACTGCATGTTTCTAGTGGCACCCATCTACATGTGCCAGGACACCATACCAAACACCAACCGGAAATTTAATATTGTAGACAATTTTTCTGCATTAAGTACAGGGAACTTTTTTCCTTGAATTTTTGTCTTTTAGGTTATTTAGATATGTGTATGTTTATACTGTCATATTACAAGCTGTGTTAACATGTATTGAATATGTCTGGTTTTATAATAAACGACAAAACTATTGTTCTAAAGAAATATGGTTGGCAGATTTGTGTTCTAAAACAGGTAGATTAGTATGCAAAATTGAACATATCAAAATAAGATGAACAAGATCATAGTGTTTTTCTAACATCTCACCCAAAGCACATCTGTAAGACAAGTATTAATTTTAAAATTCTGGACCATATAGTCTGCATAAAATCAGTTGAAACACATATGAACTAATACCCAATTGTTCTAACACTTGTATTTGTGCATATGCATTTACAAATGATATTTCCCTCCTCTCAGACTTGAGCAGAAAATAGGTTTGGTGAATATAATGTGAATAAAACAGAATCCATATATTCATTTATTTCAGAAATAAACTTTATTTTATGAAAACAACACAATGTATACAATGCTTTGAACATGCTATTGTGTTTCTCACCATATTATATACTTTCTTTGGATTGGTTAAAGCAAACTAATGGTTTTGCTATGCAGCACTACATTATTTTCTCTCCTTCCCTGCTCACATATTTTCTCTGATGGTTTTTGATAGAGCCAATATTCCATTACCAGCATTGGGCAGGGAGAAAACCATGCTGATACTGTAATTTTATTCTGGAAGTACTGACATATAAAGTAAGTTCTTATATCAATACCATTGTTATAGGTATTGAAATGGGATTTTATTTATTACTGTTGTCAGGGGCATCAGTATTCAAGTTCAACATAGCCAACTGTACCCTTCTTTTTATGTGAATGCTCTTCACAGACATGGGCTTGTGAAACAGCAATCCAAAGAAAAGGTGGAACAGGAGAAACATAGCAGCAATGTACTAATGCCCTTTTCTTTAAAAAAACAGTGAGCCTTAGTTTCATTTTGATGGATGCTACAGTGAAATTGTACAGACCTAGTCGACCACGAATAGTACAGTCTTTACAAATATTCAAAGAATTCAAAGGAAAACATCAAAAGGGTTCTTATATTACAGAGGGAATTACCTCAGGTTTCAGTACACACAAGTTTTATTTCTTTTGCAAGGATCCAACGAGACCTGAGTTAACACTAACATTTTTTTCTCAAATGTAGCATTATTACAATGTTGCAATCCAAGCAATGCTGAGTACAAGACATGCAACAAGCAAACTCCCACCAAAACGACTGAAAAATAAACTTTATACAAATGTGCAGTGTTCAGTTTCTCAGAAATCCCTAGCACCAACACAATGTCCATACATAATGGTATTAAGTCTCATCTTTGCTAGTTTCTCTGCTTTAAATCCCAGAGTTGTTCATAACACCAACATTTTATCTTTAAGTCACTTAACATGGGCCTTTTGCCAAATGATTCTGTTCAGTACTTTTCTAATAATGATACTTGCTGTCAGTTTTTAGGTCCAGAGCTGACCAATGCAGTCATTCTCCAGCACCCACTTATTTTGGGTATTATCAGGTATAATTCTAATGGAGGGAGATTAAGTAAGTTGCAATGAAGTGCATATTATTCATACTATCTAGCCCATTGATTAAGAAGTTACAGAGTTCTGGTTTTAGAGGGGAACATTTTAGCAACTCTGGCATTATTGTGCTACCTGTCAATAACTTGAAATTTAGTATAAAAATGAATCAAATTGACCAGGCTTCTGTAATGTTTGCAGAGAGGCTTTGAACTTTAAAGTACACGTTTAATCGGGGCTGGATTGTTGATTATGCGATAACACTTGTAACTGTGATGAAAAGATTTGATGATCAAGACTGTCCTGTTCTAGTCACTTGGATGAAACAACATGTGCCAACAAGTAGGAGATGTCTAGTAGGAAAGGTCAGAGAAACATTATAAAGTTTAACGTTTTGTCTCATCTCTCTGATCCACTCTGCAGTTGGTCACTGCGTCTTAACAGGACTGTGAAATCACTCCTGTGCAATTGAACATTATTTAGTAGGGGGAAGCAAATATGTTGCTCCTCACGTATCCTTTGTTCTGGTGTAGTAACCATTTGAACAGGGCAAGACCTTTTCCCTCTTCTAAAGTTTTCCTTTCACGTAAGAATTCAAAGAGTGACCTGCTGCAAGCTCTTAATGGTGATAAGTAATATGAGATAATTTACAAAATAGAATTAACAGCATATGCCAAGCTGCAGAGAACATTTAATTGATATTATTTTAGAATCTATTAAAGGCTAGGAAGCTTGTTTTAGTTTTGATTCTAGCACAAATGTTACTGGCATTCTTAGGATGAACAGAATGCCACACAGCTCTTAGTTTGAATCTAACAGATAAAATTAATAATACTCAAAATAAAATTAGAACCTTGAATCACATACAGCTTCCTTCAGACTGAGGTAATGCCCAGAGAGTTAGTTTTACTTTTGCCACATAAACTATAATACAGGTTTATTCATACCTGCAGAAACTGCAAGTTAGGTTGATTTCAGAATATGGGTAGAAATCTGCAGCTACTTGACAAGCTCTTCCAGCGAAAGGTCAAACTACTGTGAGATTGAAAAATCACTTCCTCAATCCCCTACTTAAAAGATGAAGCCAGGTTTGGAATAGAACCATAGTAAAAATTTGCTTCTAGTCCACTCAATCTCTCAGCTAGATAACAGAAGACCTCGAAAACTACAGAACTGAAAAATCCCGGTTTCTATCTGAACGGTGTTTGAAAAAGAGGAACCAATGTTCATACCTACAAACTAAATTGCCTGATCTTACAGTTTCAGAAGGATGCATTTCTAGCCTATAGTAATGCTGCACCTGCAACATGCACCTTTGTAATACTGGATGGATAATAAATTTAAACATGAGGGAAATTTCACAATATCCTTTGCTACTGAAAGAATAGTCTTTTGACATTTATACAGGCTGCCAAGACCGATTTTCGAGAAACTAATTGCAATACCACTTTTTCAGTTTTGGACTGAATTTAAACCAAGAGTGAGGAGGGATTGCAAACCTATTAATCATAGGAAGCCTTTGAAAGGCAAGTGTACAGGAAAAAGGGACTGAAACTGAATGTAGAAAATCGAGGACAGGTGTAATGGGTGCATGAGACTTGGCTCAGGATGTAACACAGGCGGCAAAATTTGAAATTTTTTTTTGGAGGCTAAACGTCTAACAGGAGAGCAATGAAGTAGTGAATCTGGAAGTGATAAAAGCATGGATAAGTTTCTCAGTGTCTTGAAGGGCTTAAGTAGGAGACGTTGCAAAGCTAGATGTTGATGGATAGAATAAGGAGCCAAAAACTCACTTCAAAATCAAACAGAACCCAAAAATGAGAATGCCACTTTTTAATAAGTGATGTAATTATAAATTGATTGCAATAAACCACTTGATCTGTATGGAAGGAGGGATATCTAATCAACGCAATTAAAACCAGAAATTTTGCCCAGCATTTGGCAGATTTGATCTGTCATATATTAGAGTGCCTATGTAACACCACAAAATAAATGTATGTCAACTTGAGCTAGTTTCCTCCCCGACCGAACTATTCTGATTTTCGTAACTAAACTGAATGAATAATTTTCCTCACTATTTACAGTACAGATAAAAAATCAACCACCTCCAAAATTTAATCTATGCTCTGTAATTTTCTCCAAGGCAATGTTGCTACAACTTGAGGTAATGGAATGGGTCAGCAAAATGTAGTATTAGACTTTTCCACAATTGCTGCCAAGTTTTACTCATATCTTGACTCATCATTACTCACCATGCCACTGGAAACACCAATGCTGTACCTGGTGAACTGATAGAAAGTTAAACTTACTGTTATCAGGGAACTCCAGGACTTGAAATTACGACGTTCAGGATGTTACCCTCCTATGAATGGGAATAGGGAACAAATCCAAAACTTTACTGTAATAATGTGAGGTCTTAAATCTATTATGCCAATTTACAGGTTGTTTCAGAACAGCAGCAAGGAAGAAAAAGCAATTAAACATAGTGAAGAAGAAAATACATTGACACATTTAGAATAACTAGTTTAATACAAACTTTGTTTCAGTAAACTAGTGTTGATGGCTTTTAAAAGACTGAAATTTCTGAATGTATCTAAAATGGATAAACTTTACCTTAATAGGAAATCCAGAACATTAAACTGAACCATTCAACTGTCTTTTAGGAAAGCAAATTAAATTATTATTAAAACATCCAATGCGAGAAATTCAAAACATAAACACAACTGCAATCTACTGTCAACAAGTTTTCAAATAAAATTTATATTATATATTTATATATATTTATATATATATACACAGCAGGCTGTTGGGTTACAGTATGCCATAAAATTACAAATATTTTCACCAAAACAAAACAAATAACCTGTTGCTTTTGAAGAATACTGCCATTTCAGAAATTGACTTCTGTCTCCCAGTACCACCATACTACACAGCTAGTGTGAGAGTTCAGCTTAGTGATGGATATTTGATACCCCTTCTTTCTGGCATTTGCAGGTCAATATTTCGTCAACCCAGCAAGATAATAAAGGTACTGGGGCAATAAACCAGTGATGTCTTGAGTTTATTTTCTCCACTAAGAGCTAATCATCGCCTGTAAATCAAGAAAAAATTGACAAAAAAAATCAACAAAAAAATCATTGTTCCAATTAAAGATTATGACACCCATTGAAATAGCTGACAAGATGACTTAATGACAGAAAATGCAGCTAAATATGCTTAAATAGTCTATGTATCTGTCGTGTGGGAAATAATAACCTTGGGTGGCACTGGAGGTTAAAGGGGACACATTTCCTCAGTAATTGTAGTATTACATCTCTGCACCCTGAAAATGGCTCAGTGGGCATACAATCTAAGTTGGTGTATCAGGTTGTGCTGGCTCATGCTTTCATATTAATATTACATAATACAAAGTATACTACAACATATCTTTGATAGGTCACAATAGATTGGAAAGTTCACATATAAGAAATAATGAATTAGGTGCAGAAGCAGGCCACTCGGCCCTCAAGCCTGCTCCACTACTTGGTAAGATTATGGTTGATCTGATTATTCCACATTCCTACCTAGGTTTTATGAATTTTCATCCCATTAATGATCGAGAAACTATCTATCTTTGCCTTTTAAATATTCAAATGCAGTGCTTCCACCACTTTTTGTGGAAGAGAATTCAGAAATGTATATTATTTGTAAATATAGGTCCTTAGTTCTAGAATCTCCTACAGGAGGAAACATCTTTTCCACATCCGCCCTATCAAGGCCTTTCTGTTTCAATTAGGTCATATTTTACTTTTCCAAACTCCAGCAGATAAAAGCATGGCTTGTCCAAACTTATCCTACAAGACTGCATTCTAGGTGGTCCTACATTCCAGGTAGTCCGAAATCCTTATCTGAAAACCTCAGGACCAATGGGTTTTTGGGTAAAGGGTATTTTCGATTTTTGTGTCCACTATAGTCTTTTGAGGTCCATTGTATAAACAGAAAAGACCCAAAAATTGAAGGTCTTTCCAAGAGTGAACCCAAGCAGACCCGCAGACATGCGGAGTTCAGGCCCTTTAGGAAGAAGCTTCGCTTGGCCTGAATGGACATAAAAGCAAAGATTTTTTTTAAATGAAAGAGTCCAAACAGATTTGCAGACACAATGAATTTGACCCTTTGGTAGAAAGCTTTGTTTTTAGGTCCATTTGGGCCAAGCAAAGTTTCTTCCTAAAGGGCCTGAACTCAGTATATCTACAGGTCTGCTTGGGTTCGCTATTGAAAGACCTTCGGTTTTTAGAATTTTTCAGTTTTCAGATATACAGATAACGGATACCTGACTTGCAAGATGAAAAAAAATTGTGAACGCTGGAAATCTGAAACAAATACAGAGAATGCTGGAGAAACACTGCGGGTCAGGCAGCATCTGTGGAGAAGGAAACAAAGTTAATGCTTTGAGTCCAGTATGACTCTTCTTCAGAACTGAAAGGCATTTGAAAATGCCATTTTTAAATACCTTTGGCAGAAAAGATGGATTAACTGAGAAACAACAGGAATAAGTGAAAATCTGGGTCAACATAAAGTAATATAAGTAAGTGAAGTAGGGGAAGGGAAGTAAAGTTAATGCAAGATAAATAAGTAAGAAACACTAAATAAGTCCAAGACATAGTAGCACGGGTTGGTTGAGTAGAATGTGTGGCTTGAATACGTGGTGAGTTATGGACTCGATCAGTGTCCTAGATGACCACATGTGTAGCAAGTCCTTTCAGCTGCAGACAGTTGAGCTCCACGTTTTGGAGTTCAAGCGGAGGCAGGAGGCACTATGGTATATCAGTGAGAGTTAGCAAGTTCAGACAAATGGTCACACTGCTGCTTGAGGACATTGAGAATAGAAAGGAGCGGATGGCCCTGGCTGCCAGGCAATCCAAAAGAAGCTCAAGCAGGCCGTGCAAGAATCCCAGAAGTCCCACTCACAAATTGCTTGTCTGTTTTAGAAGCTGATGTGGGTGTGGGTTCCTCAAGGGAGTGCAGTCACAGTCATGTTTGTGGCATTGTAAGTGGCTTGGCCGTACAAAAGAGGACGAAGAAGAAAAGGGGTACTGAATGATAGGTGATCATAAATTAAGGGATCTGACAGGCATTTCTGTGGCCATCAACATGACTCCATGATGGCATGTTGCCTCCCTACTCCAACAGTTTACTCAGTAATGCTTCACTATTGTAATTTTCTTGACTTCCTTCCTCCATTTCTCAATTTACAATTATTTCTGAGATGTCACTGTATCCTTTACATGAAGACTAATGCAAAAAATCTGTTAGATTCATTGGTCATCTCCTTATTTTCAATTTTTAAACCCCCAGACTCACTTTTTAAAGGACAAATTTTAACATTCTTAACTATCCCTTTTAAGTGTCTACATAAATTTTTACTTTTATTTATATTTCTAGCTAGCTTTCCCTTGTACTCTATTCTTCCCCTCTTAAATTTTTAGTCAATCTTTACTGATTTTTATATTCTGTCATCTTCTGACCTGCCATCAATCATTGAATATTTCTTTTTAAGTTTGATACTATCTTTAATTTTATTAGTTAACTGCAAATGATGGATCCTACCCCTGGAATTTTCTCTTTTTGGAATATATCTTTTCTGCGTGTACTGAAATTATGTCTTAAACCTTTGCATCTGCATCTCTATTGACCTATCCCTAAACATAATTTGAAAGTTCACCTTAGGAAACTGGACTGAAGCAACAGGGATGAGGATAGATTTTTAATGTGTTACAGTTGTTCCTCTTTTCAACCGTAAGGATTGGAGCATATTCTTCCTCATCTCTTCATTTCAATAACTTGAACACGAAAAATTCAAAGAAGGCATATGTCAATATCACATACCTGTGCCGGGCTGTACTGTAAGTGTCTAGCAGATGGCAACTGGCTAATTCCAGATTCCAGTCAAACATTTCCAGAATTTTTTGACATTCACTTCTTGTCTTCAACCCCAAACAGAATAATTGTTCAACCTAATAGGAAAATATTATGGATGCAGCAATTAGAGGGTGCAGGTTGCAAGGTGCAGGGACAAGGGCAGCTATAAGAGGATCAAGAGGTTCAGCTGCAAAAGAGAGAAAGGTAAGCTGCAGGGCGAAATAAAAACTACATAAAAAGAACAGTTTTAAACCTGTCAAAGAAATACTCAGCAACTAGAAGAATGGGAAAAATGAAATCACTGAGGTAATAAATTCCTTGCAAATTAATGAAGAATCTCTAGCTTAAGGTTGCATATGTTCAGGAACTACAATATGGGGATATTACAATAATTAATATTTTGTTTACTCAAATTCTGTGGAAGGTATATTTAAGGACATAGTTTTGTGTGTAGGAATGTCAGTTACTTTCAACATACCTTTGCTGCTAGCTTATGGCAGTTGTTATGTGCTGATTTAAATATCATGGTATCTAAGGAATTAATGCTTTCCTTGTGACTAAGTTTGACTGAGAGTTGATAATTGAGGAAATTGATGGATTTCTTCAATTCTGTTTCTATTTGAATATAAATGCCCATATGCTAACACAAATACAGAGGGTATTGTTATACGTGGCTGCACCACCTAATGAATTAGCTAATAGGAATTAAAAAGGAGCCACTGAACATCAAAAATAGCCCTCGAGAAAATCTCAAGAAGGGTCTTTGAAAAAAATATCACCCTGAAATCGAGAGTTGAGCTAGTAGTAATACACTGTTCAAGTTTGCCCCTAAGATTTAAATGTGGGTTGCACATCCTCGGTTATCTGTCTGCCACCATCCATTAATTCCACCATATTTTTGCATTTATTGTCTGTAGAACTCCAGCAGAGTTTTATGGACAGTAACCATCACAAGGCTCTCTAGAATCAGTGAATAAAACTTTATCAGTTCTATAGTTGACATAAATCTTCCGGTAGAAACAAAATATCTAGTCAGTCAGTGGAGAATATAATGGGAAAATCAAACAATAGAAAAGATGCTGAGAAGCTTGATGTTAACAGTTGTTTCCGATTCAATCTCCCCGAATACTACATTACACATTATTCTCCGTGCTGCTTTGTATCATCAAAACTCTTTAAAGTAAAATTTCCTCCACTAAGAGATTTATGAAGATTAGACACTGGAATAGCTTCATAACAGCATACCCGTTCACAAAGAAACATTAGGAGCAAACCTGATCACATAATTGAAACCAAATAATTGAGTTTACTTTTAAATCCAATGCACTAACGCTATTTTCAAACCCAAAGTCAGTCATGACTCAACTCGGAGATCTTTTTTTCTTATTCATTCACAGGATGTGGGTGCCACCAGCTTTACCAGTTGCCCTCGAGTCCACAAAACAAGTTAAATCAAGAAACCATGTGAAATTGTGTAAAACTACTTTGCTGAATTGCATGATGATGGTTCTCAATCTTCCAGATGAGTCAATTTTATCATTTTTTAAAGGAAGTAGCTGTACTAAGCAATTGAGGTGAGTCATACTTGTCTTTATCTAAGATTTTGCTGTTATTTGTGGTTTATGTAACTTGAATACAAGTTATCACCTGCACAATTCACTATAAAGAAGTACAGACACTTTAACTGCTGTCAAGCCTTTGTCAATAGATGAAAAATTGCATCCCACATGGTTAGCTCAGCTTATATACATCTGTGTATCTCCAAAAATGAATTAACATGGGTCTGGCATGGATCAAATTGGATTTTAAAATAAAAGCACACAGTAAGTTTAACAAATTCATTTCCTCTTTTCCATAGTCTTTTCTGAAGTGCAGGATCCATTATCTACAGCACCAATAGCCCTGGCACCACAAGAGTTTGAACAAGAGTCTTTGTGGCCTACTTAGCACAAACTCCTCCAGTGGTTGCAAACTATTCCCAGGTGAGCAGGGACAACCAGGCCCTACACCTAGCGTCATTAACTCGACTACTGCAAAATATTTGCAGCTTTCCAAATCTGTACTTGTTTCCTGACACAGATAACTGATATAAGAAAATTGATCAATGAACTGAAGTATAGAATGTTAAGTAACCAAAAATAGCAACTCACTCTATGAAGAACTAAAGAGGAATGGCATTATTGGAGAAGAGTGATATGAAGTAGTTTCAGTTTACAATATTCTACATTGTGTACTTTGCTAAAGCCAGTTAGATTCTGTATCCAAGAGGATGAAGTCTTATCCTCTCAGTGAGGAAGACGACTGCTGGAACCTGCCATACTACAACAACTGAAAATAGGACTATCTACATTAAGGGGAATAGCATCTTTTCTCTGGGGTTCAATGCCATTAAACAGTTCAGGCCCACTAAACACTTGACTTGTTAACAGTACTGGTGCATGGGTCGACATGCAGAGACAGGAAGGAATGTGATCACCACTCAACCCAATGAGAACTATGCAAGGTGGAACCCGCTTGCTGAAGCCGTTCAGGTGATGGGCTTTCAGTGCAGTAACTTTTAACAATTAACAGCTAACACTACCTTTATTTTTCAGAGCCACCACAACACTGTTCTCATTTAGAGTTGGTGCAATTAGGTTAAGGATGGATCCGAGCTCACGGTTACCTTGAGGTACTGTATGGCTTTTTGAACGTTCCAGTTGTGGTTCTGAAGTGCAGTCTGACATTCCTCCATCGTAACGCCATGAACATTCTCCTGAACCTGAACATAGAAACATTTCTGAACTTCTGATTTATTAGCACACCACCTTGCTGGAGTAAAGTGCGACTACCTCCATAAAAACCATGATGTTTCTTGTGAAGCAGTCTGACAGAAAATGTTACTGTTTACACCAAGTGTGGAGTGCCTACAGGGGTGGTACCATATCAGTTTTAATTGCTCGCAATATTGGGACCTACTCCACCTGCTTTGAAAGTGCCATATTCTTCTTAAGCATATTATTTATATTCTCTTCTACCTTTTTAATGACTTGCATATTTCAAGTAACATCAATTTTAACGTTCAAAACTTCTACCATTGGTTTATTAAGCATCCTAAATTGTTTGTATTGCTCAAGAAAATTATAAATACTGTAAGTCATGCTGGGAGATGCTACATAGTGGACTGGTTAGCAAGGTTAGATCACATGGAATCCAGGGAGAGCTAGCCATTTGGGTATAAAATTAGATTGAAGGTAAGAGACAGAGGGTGGTGGTGGAGAGGTGGACTGGAGGCCTGTGACCAGCAGTATGCCTTAAGGATCGATGCTGGGTGCACTGTCATTTTTGTCATTTATATAAATGATGTGGATGTGAATATAGGAGGAATGGTTAGTAAGTTTGCAGATGACTCCAAAATCGGTGGTGTAGTGTCAGTGAAGGAGGTTACCTCAGAGTACAACAGAACATTGATCAGATGGGCCGAGGAGTAGCAGATGGAATTTAATTTAGATAAATGTGAGGTGCTGCATTTGGTAAGTCAAATCAGGGCAGGACTCATACAAATAATGGGAAGGTCCTGGGGACTGTTGCTGAACAAAGAGACCTTTATGTGCAGGTTCATAGTTCATTAAAAATGGAGTTGCAGGTAGACAGGGTAGTGAAGATGATGTTTGGTATGCTTGCCTTTATTGATCAGTGCATTGAGTATAATGGTTCAGATGTCATGTTGCGGCGGTACAGGACATTAGTGAGGTCAATTCTGGTGTCCCTGCTATAGGATAGATATTATTAAACTTGAAAGAGTTCAGAAAAGGTTTACAAGGGTGTTGTCAGGATTGGAGGATTGGAGTTATAGGGAGAGGCTGAATAGGCTTGGGATATTTTCGCTAGAGTCTCGGAGGCTGAGGGGTGACCTTATAGAGATTTATAAAATCATGAGGGGCATGGATAGGGTGAGTAGCCAAGGTCTTTTCCCCAAGGTAAGAGTCCAAAACTAAAGGACATAGGTTTAAGGTGAGAGGGGAAAGATCTAAAAGGGACCAAAGGGGCAACTATTTCACACAAGAGGGTGGTGCGTGTATGGAATAAGCTGCCAGAGGATGTGGTGGAGGCTGGTACAATTACAACATTTAAAAGGCATCCGATTGGGTATATGAATAGGAACAGTTCAGAGGGATATGGGCCAAATGCTAGCAAATGAGATAGATTAATTTAGGATATCTGGTCAGCATGGACGAGTTGGACTGAACGGTTTGTTTCTCTGATGTACAATACTATGACACTATGTGCACCTTTTATAAATTTAGTACGGGCATCTGAATCATGGTAAATTGGCCACTTTTGCATATTACCCATATAAATATAACATGAAAATTACAGTACAGACTAAAAAAAAGAATTACTGTAATCTAGTCAATGGATTCCACCTGTAACTTCAGTCCATTCAGATCCTGACTTTTGATATTTTAAGGAAACTACAAATTATGTTAAACTGTTCATTGTGAGTAAAGAGAAAATCAAAACCCACCAGTTCTGCTGGCATCCAACACTTGTAATGTTTCTGTCACAATTTTCATCTATTGCCAGAAGGTTTAGAAGACATACTGCCCATTTCTGATTATAACAGACTTATTTATCCTGTGCAAGGCAATTAGCTGTTTTGCTGCTCTCAATTATCTGCTCTCCAATTTATAGAATTATTAGATGAAAAATGATACAAGTTCCAAGGTGACAGTACAGAATTATCACAATTAAGTAAATTTATTCTTTTGGTACTGTAACACCAAATTACAGTCATTGGAGAATCCCAAGTAATGGAGTGCTACCTTGTGGTCGAATGTAGATTACATACATTTTGAATGCACTGCACCAGTTCCAAGGCAATTGCGATGGCCCGGATTTTTCAACTAATGGCAGGATGGAATTCCTGCAGATGGCCGTGCTCAAAACTGCCAGTTTATCTTACTTTTATACTCAGGCCTTTGGACTTTACAATCCTGGCCCCAGCTTTGATCTATTCATGTACAGTATGGGAAGGCCTGCGCCGTGGTGAAATGTAATTAAAGTAAAACAATCCTCACTTTTTCATCAAAAAATAATGACATGCTTAAACTCTATCTTCATTTCAGTGCCCTGCTGTATTTTTCAATTGGCATGTCACCTCCTACAATGCACAACCCCTGCTCCATTACCACCAATCCCCCACAATGTACACATTTGCTCACACTCTTGACAATATTTACCCTCATTCTCTGACACTGCTTACTGCCCATCCCAAAAATGCTCAATTCCGACTCCCACTCCTCCAACACCTTGGCCTCTTCCCACATCGGCCAGATAGGAACCTTTGGTTTCTTCAATGGAGCTTGTGGGTGAGAGGGAGCTGGCAAGCATTATCTGGAATGTGAAGAGGGTGCAGCGGAGTGTTATGCATTACTGAGGAGTGAGGGAAGGAAAGTGTGCATTGTTTATGGTACGGGAGGGGGGAGGCGCAGCATGGATGTTTTTAAGGCTTTTCTATACCACCCAGTCATAAATACTGCCTTATACCGAAAGTTAATGGCAGGAGAAATATGGAGTAAAGCCCAAGTTGCAAATTCTAAGGTCAGTGTCAGAGACATTTTAGGAGTGGCATAGACAGTGCAATTCTACTCACCACAAGTTAAAACTTTGTGGGTAAATACATGCACACAGGTTGAAACTTCCAGAGGATCCTGACATGCAACAACTGTGGATGTCTCAATATTTGCTGCTGTCATCATTATAAGCTTCCACCCATTATGTCCTGTAAATGTGGTCCTTTTTTTGCTGTGGGTCTAAATTCAATTTCAGAGAAGTTTAAGTTCAATGCATTATTTACTAAAATAGCCACTCTAAGCTCTCTCAACTACCTCAGATAGCTGCAGATTCCTAAAATGTAACTCTCTGTTCCTACTATAAACTAGCCACCCAACCTAATTGTTGTCTAAGTGGGTATGGTGAAATGTATAGAAAATGTATGCAACAAAGTGCATGAGCCATAAGGTTCTAAATCTTAAAATCTCTGAAAATTCATCATGCTTCATTTACAAAAGAAACTTCTAAACAACTCAAGATATAATTCCTTGGGCTGCACTAAATTAGCTGATCTCTTTCAGCATAGGAATTCAGGGAAGATAAATAGCCCTACAACTGCCTTCATTCCTATCATATCAGAATCCTTTTTACCTCCTATGATAAGTTGTAAGAATACAGTTATAAGAATTTCTTCCAGATAAACTTCCAAAAACAAGTCCATGTATACAATAAATTGATTTATTAACAGTGTTAAAATGATGCTTTATTTTAATAGCTTTGGAAGCACTAAGTTTGAATGACTGTGGAAAAGGGAATTTATTAGTTTTCTGGACATACTTGAAATGGTTTCTTCAAAAGTGGTCATTAAAAGATCCCTGTAGGCACTTCAGTTTTTTTCAACATAACTTTCTGCAAATCACATGAACGGCGAACAACCTTTCTCTCTTTTATCTCGCTGCTGAACAGACCTCGAAGGTCCACGCACAGCACCAGATTCCAGAAGCAGAAGCCATGCGTCAATACTCCGATCAATGTGTGCAGAGCTTGCGAACAGCTGTGCAGTCATGCAGCTTAGATGAAACAGTACTGGTAATAATTGCTTGCTTTTATTACATCTCTGCTGGGGCTGTTTAGAACAGGGATTGGCTTGAAGTTGTTCTTGGTTTATCTAACAAAGTTTAGATAGGATGTAGGAGCAGAAGTAGGCATTTAGCTCATTGAATCTGTTCCAGCTTCAATTAGATAATAGCTGATCTGATCATCCTCACCTCTGGGCTTTTCTGCCTTTTCCCCATAACCTTGGATTCCATTATTGATTAAAAAATCAGGACGGAGGGAAGCTTTCTAAGAACCAGCTGAGTTAAAGGGAAACCTGCTGAGAATCTCTTCTATTTCTGAAATAAAACCTTCGATTTCATTTCGGAGTGAAATCTAGTTGTTCTTTTTGAAAGAGAGATTGAAAAAACACCCTTAAGATCGTATTTCCTGAGCAAGCTGCGTCTGCAAGTCTTCCGGGCATAATTAGAGACTTGACTGCATGTGCCAGAATAGCAGAACGTAAGACTCTAGCACATTCTGTGCTTTATTCTTCAAGAATAACTCATTTCCAAAGTGTTTTTTTTTAGAAAGCCAATCTCTAGAGAGAGAGATCTGTTTTCTTTTTCTCTTTCGCTGAAGACAGAGTATGTATTTGCAAGTGTATTTTAGATATAGATGCTTAATTACATTACTAAACTACTAACTTACGGTATTACTGATTGTGTATGTTAACCAAATATTCCAGCTTTATTGAATAATTTTTGTTTTGATTGAACTGTAGCTCACTACCACCTTCACAAGGATAAGTAAGGGTGGACAGTAAATATGAACACAGGCAGTGACACCGCACATTCCATGAATATTTTTTTTTTTTAAAGAGTGGAAGAAAGAACTTTTCACAAACTCTGGAAGATCTTGTATTTATATAGAGTTTTGCATTACTGCTAAATGTCCACAACTCCTAATCAATTAAGTTCTTTTGAAGCATTGTTACTGATGTAATTCAGGAAATTTGGTGGCAAATTTGCCAATAAAACGCTAGGTAATCTGTTCATTTTGTGTTGGGGAAAGGGATAAACATTGGCTAAGACACCTGAACAAACTCCTCTGCATTTATTTGAAATAGTACTATGGGATCCTGTTCCGATATCTGGGACACTGGGTGGGGTTTCAACTAAACGAAGACAT